GTAGTGAGGAACTATGTGTAATCGATACCTTGCAATAAAAATGCCTTATTTGCTAGTCCTATTTCGATTTTCTGCCAGTTACTTCCTGTGCAATACCGTAATGATCCTCTATTGGTACGGTATAAATTTCATCGAGCTCTGTCGTCTGGCAGAGGTTCAGTGATCAAAGTTGCTTTCGTCCCTAAGTTTTGCACACCAGTGTACGAGAACCGACATCTATGTGGAACAACTAGGAGAACAGAAGTTGGAACCTGACTCCTGAATTTCAAAATTTTGAATAACTTACTGTAGCTTTGAATCCTGTGAAACTATTTTCGACTTCTCAGGTTAAAAGCGGACTTCTCATAGCTGAGTGTACTCATGACAGCTTGAAGTACTTGTAAAGGAAACGATACTGCTCAGCTCTGAAATTGTAATGCAACAAATCCTGGCAGATAAAAAGATTCTATGAAACTAAGGAGTTGCTTCTTCTCGAACTTACCTCTCTGTTCGATCGCTTTCATGACCTCTCTTTTGTTAAAAAGCATTCCATCTTCCACATTCAATCTTTTTTTTTTGTTGAATAGTAAAATTTGAGTGATCAAGGATTCGACCGGGCAACTATAGTGATTTGATCTGTTTTGCCTCACAAGGTGGACGAGTTGTGAGCAAAACTCCGGCATCGAACAAGACTCGAGCCCGTACTTGTGCTTTCCGGGCACCGTGCACTTATCCCTCACTACCAAGACCACGCTTTCCCTCACCTTCTTAATCCACGATCCAATGCTAATACTGGCTGACCAGAGAGTGCTGATAAGCCATGGCATGTAAGACTTTAAGAAGGCGAGGGCAAGAGGGTCCCGGTAGTGGGAGGAATTAGAGCACGGTGCCTGGGAAGCATAAGAGCGGGTTCCAGTCCCATCCGAGGCAGAAGTTTTGTCCGTACCTCACCAACATTGTGAGTCTTTCATATCACGTACTGCGGCGAAATAACAGCAATTATCAAAACATCAGGATCAAAAAAGTTAATCTGACATAGTAGCTTCAATTCCATCATCCATTACTTGTGTGGGTAGAAGTGCATCGCTTCATAGGACTAAAATTAAAAGACTGTCCCTTGACAAAGAGGAACAACAGTTTTACCTGCGCGATCATATTTTGAAGCAGGTAAGGTCAAGTCTACCTGAGTTAATCCAAACACATTTTTCTCTCCCATCTACTGCAGTACTGTAATCAGCCCTTATACAAACCTCGATAGGAGCCAGGGATGAGACCGAATTAAAAAGTAAAAGTCTGTTCAGGTGACTCAATTTATAATCTGGTAGCTCTGGAGGGATAAGAATTTCGCCAACACCGCGTTAAGCTAAGAAAACTTAGTTATCGCACATGTTATGGGTCCTGATGTGGGTTTTCTCAGAACTTTATATTGTACATGCAAAACTCTTCTCAGATCGACATTTCATTTGATGTTTTTGAGAGCGATTGGACTTCCATTCACGATATTTGCTGCAACAGAGATCGCCCATGGAAAACCACTTCCATATCGCAACCGCACGTGTTTCATATAAAAGCCGGTTTGGCTGCTTCTTATAGCGTTGTGTTTGCAAGCACGTCATGTCAGCAAAATGCCTTTCCACCAACCGAATACTTCAGCTTAATACTCAGCTTAGATCCATCAAAATCATAAAATGAACTGTCTACGAAAATACCATAAGAGAATGACAATTGTCCTGCAATTCCTCACAAGTAATATGTGAGAGGCAGGCCGGTTCAAAGACACAATTCACCAGAATTCCACGGTCAATGGAAATGATGGGAGGTTTAGGCAGATCAGGGCAAAATATACTCTAAGAGCAGAAGAAAGTGGGCCGATCTCAGAAATATAAGACTAAAAAAAGTGAAAAAGTGTTGAACAAGAATTGCTGAGGAAAGAATATCCGTAGTAACTGTCAGTTGATGCAGTTGGTAAGGAGCCGGGTGGAGAAGGTCAAAAAGACGAAAATTGACTTTTTTCTGGCACCTTCATAGTACCGACATCAGGACGCCGACGTAGGCCTCCATTCGATATCTCTCGAGTTGATGACTCATGCCGCAGGGTGTGGGTTTACGTTGAACGGATAATAAGATAAGATTAGATAGAATTCAGACGTGAAAACTTCTTTCCGCGAAAGCAAGTGGGTACGTTTGGCTCACTTGTTTCAGAATATGTCCCAGCATAAAAAATTATTTGCCTAGAAAAACAAAAGGAGACGCCTGATTGTAAGCTTCGTATAGATGTGCAGCAGCCGTGAGCATCTGATGGTGAGTGTATCCTACATGAGCGTACTAATCATCGAGTCGCGACCCATCTAGACAGTGGGCGCCTTCAGAGGGACCCATTTATGGGTGACCGATTGCTCAAATTATCACATGTGTGCTCCACTGGTTATGGTGTAACTATAACGGGACCAGCATGAGGCGGACACCTTTGAATGTGTGTGTCGGTCAATACGCCGGTTTGGAGTCCTTATTACGCTCTTTAAAGATCATTTCTTCACTCGGCAGTGTCCCATCTACTGTCCTTGTGGGCCACACACTCATCCTAGCGGAAACTCGGAAACCATTTTTATAGTGGAACGTGCCTACAGGTATCTGGAACTACTCTGGTGAGCCTTGGAGATTTTACTGGAACATCAAGGTTCACTCTAAATCAGCCGATGCTTCTGTGTTCTTGGCTCGTCCAGAGAGATTATACAGAGAATAGACACGATACTAATGCAAACTGAAAGCTATTGTTAATCACTGAAATCTTCGGAAAACACTGAAAGAGAACCGATAAAGGCCACCTCGTGTTGTGTACAAAAGAATTGCTGAGGAAAGTCAGTAATTTCTATGAGAATGTTTATTGCATGGCGAGCAATTGATTGCTAGACCAAGATCATGCTGTCGCTCAGCGACGAGTTCCGTCTTCGAAGAAAACTCCACCGTCAATAGCGCAGTATTTTGGACAGATACCAGGCTCTCCGACAGCGCCAGCTGGTCCAGCTTCTCCGGGAGCACCTGGGTTTCCGTCGTCACCAGGTTGTCCATCCGGTCCGTTCTCTCCCTTCTGGCCTGGCTCACCTTAAAAATAGCAATTAAAATGATATTGTAATACGGGTAAAAAAACGAAAACAAAGACTGTCGAACCCACCGTCAGCACCAGGTTGGCCAGGTTGTCCATCAGGTCCAGGTGGTCCTTGAGGTCCAGGCTCTCCAGCTGGTCCGGGTTCTCCAGGAATGAGTGGCTCAGAGACAGCATCGGCTCCGGGTTGTCCGTCTGCACCAGGGGCACCGGGATTTCCGTCAGGTCCAGGAGGCCCTTTCGGTCCAGCTTCTCCAGGAGCAGCATCTTGTCCGGGTGCCCCGGGAGCTCCATCTAATCCAGCATCTCCATCTGGTCCCGGAGGTCCTGGAGGTCCAGGAGGTCCTTGTGGGCATGGCTTGCATGGAGGAGGTGTGACAGGGTCACATGGCTGCTGTGGTGGACGTCCTGGGTTACCTGGAAGTCCAGGCGCTCCAGGTTTACCTGGGCGACCAGGCTGTCCAGGGGTTCCAGCTGGTCCGGCAGCTCCTGGTAGACAGCAAGACTCGCAGTTACCACCGTCGCTGGCGGATCCACCACCGACTCCTGCATCACCATATCCAGCCTGTCGAGCAGTTCGGTTTGCGGAAGGGATGTTTTTGAGATGCCTCACCTCGTCCCAGATATCCTTGGCGGAATCTGTGCAAAAGTGAATCTCGTTATGCATGGTTCTTTTCACATGATGGACATAGTTGTAAACCATTGGCAATGTGATGCAAATCGAAAGGACTGCTACAACGGAGAAAGTGACTGCCGAATAGGCCACGAAGCGGTAGGCTTTGATTCGTTGTTGAAGATCCATGTTGGAGGGACGGACCACTGTTCAATCGAACCGATTTTTTTCTTATATACCCTCTGATTAGCACACTTGGTCTGATCAGTGTCTCTCGGGTGCCCACACTATCTCGTGGCCTATTCGTTTATTCGACAACGCTCCGCCCATCCCGATGAAATATGCTGGTGTAATATGTCAAAAATTCGAAAGTGAAAACGTGATTTTCATGAAACATGAATCTGAGGGTAAAGAGATTTCGTTGACACTTTCCCAGGACTGATGGATTGCACAACCGTTCAAAGCAATTACATTTGTAAAAAAAAGGTGGCCCGAAAAAACAAACAGTGGCATGAGCCAAGTACATTTTTGGTAGACACAAGAAAAAAAATGAGAAACCTTTTTCCTCCCATTTTATGACAAGCTGATTCAATAGAAGAATTGAGTACAGCTTCAAGATGTCAGGCGACATCAACGACCAGCAATACCTAATCCCTGCTTCCAAAACTGCAGTTGGCAGCGCATCACTAGGGAAACTCTTTTCTATCCAACTTTTCACAGCACGAGGCGAGCGATAATTTACAGAATACTTTCTGTAAAATGCTAGTTTGCGCCTTCCATCAGCATCATCTTTAGATTGGTTCCTTTATCAATATTTCGTAGTAAACATGCATACAATAGAGTCAGATATCAGACAAACACTGTCTGTAATGTGCCGGTCAACACTACCTACTCGAGATGGAACCTAACAGGGAGGCAAACCCTTAACTCATACAACTTGTTTCTGGCACTTTGATGGGGGTTTTGGCTTTGACTTCGACATTATCACCCTAGGAAGTAGAGTTCCGACTAAATGTTCTTTTTCACCTTGGAAGGAGTGAGTATGCTTAGATCATTCAAGCAGGATAGGTCGCATTCAGCTGCACTGTATGTGGTTATCCTTTTGAACTCATCAATCGGGATAAAGTGAATTTTTTTCTTTTCACAAAATGTTGATTGCCAAATCCACCAAGTTGGTTGTCGGCTGGGCATCTCACTTGGTTGCTGGCCTTTTGAATGAATAGCCATTGAGGATATTCTGAGGAAGTCCTTGGATAATAACTCAAAAGTTGTAAAGCAGTAAAAGATGGAAGACGTGGCTCCTGTTTTTGAGCCATCCCGCTTTCATGTTGCCCCAATCCATTCGAATTCCTTTCAGAAACATGTTTGGGTTTAAGCATGACATGGTGGACGATGGCGGCATTAGTTCGACTGTAATTGGCAGGAGCTACTATGTATTAAAAGTCTGGACGCATATTTTCCACCTATTTGGTCAAAGCGTAACCAGTGATCAGGATATGGTGTGAGCCCCACGTAAGGTAGCAAAGTAATTTTGTTACAGAAACCACAGTTCAAATCGCTCCGAGGTGCTTTCATATAAGCCATTTACTCTGTATCGGAGGATCAAATTGAATGTAGGGCCGCGCAGGAACGAAAAATGGCGCAGAGACTCTCCGGAAGAGCGCCGACGGCGATAACACAGAGCTCTCTGAGAATCCCGATGAAGCCTTCTTCAACGAATTCTTGAGTACAACAACTGTAACGTGTTTTGAAGCTTTCTTCCCTGAGATCGAACATACGCAGCAGGGTTTTGGTTGCTCTGGGTTACAAACAGAGAATTTATCTCTACACCAGTCTTCTGTATACCGTACCATTCGAGTGATTTTTCGCCTACAGCAGCACTTCATCGAGTATGCCCATTATGGGAGGGTTCTGCTTAATTTTGATATCTGTTTCGTCAAAAAGAAATGGTGTTATGCCAGTGGTACAGATTGTAGTCTTCGGCGGCACAGATTACAGCCTTGTCATAGCCACCTCTCTTCCTCGTGATTTTCTTACGCGAAGAAAAGTGGCATTAAAAGCTCCCATTTCGGCGGTATCACCGCTTATATTGGTGAGCATATATATTTGTAAAATATATATATATATATAT